AATTTAGCTATCAGTGATTTTTTAGTGGCTCTCTACGTCGCATGTATAGGTATTTACTGGAATAGCACATCGTATGGAGAGCTTTTATTCAACAAAAAGAAAGTATGCCTAACGTTTGGGTATTTATGGTTGTTAGGTCAGTTTAGTTCAGTAATCACTTCGCTACTTTTAACATTAGAAAGATATCTTGTTTTGATTTTCACTATGAACCCTGCCATGAGAATTTCTCATCGMATGGCTGTCATTTTGCTTATGATATCTTGGATGATAGCATGGCTCCTGACTGGGTTTTCCTTATATTATAACTTGTATGGTTCTTCAATTCTATGCATTCCCATAAGTTTCAGTAAAATATATCCGAATGGAATGGGACGTATTTTTTCATTCGTCCTAGTTTCAATATTGGCTGCTATCTACTCTGTTATATTTGTTCTATATATACACATTTACATCGACGTAAAACGGACAGCTCTGAATGCAGGGACTAAGTTAGAAGCCAAAACTGCAAAAAGCATTGCACTTRTAGTCTTCACGAATTTATTTTTCTTCGTAATWCCTCTTATAGTGAGCGGGGTGGCGACATTGATTATAATATATGTAAAAGATGCTCTTAGTGACTTAGCAGTTGAATATTTAACGAATTCTTTGCCAGGGTTAGGTGTGTGCATCAATTCGTTTTTAAATCCTTTACTTTACGCTTATCGCACCAAACTTTTTTCTGACGTCTTGAAGTCAAGATTCAAAAGGTGCAAAAATAAGCTAGTTAATTTTGTAAGGATAAATAATAGAGTTGGCAACAGCAACAACGTTGCTGTCGATAATTACAATAAACGGGAATATCAGCAATAATTCACGATTGTCATGATAKCAGGATTGATTAACAGTATCAACAACTGCAATCAYGATTTTCCCAAAGACAAGGGCGTGTACAAGGGGGGCACCAGGGGGGTTACCCAACCCCCGACTCCCACTTCGTCCTCGCAGGACAAAGACTTACTCATGGTAAGATAAAGAATTTTATAAGATATTCAATCAGTTCATTCGATATTAAGCCAATATAATCGCGTTTCTTGACAATTTTGAAACCACAAGACGATTATGTCAGCGAGGGACTTCATTGATAGTCTCATTTCCCCCTCACTCCACAAAAAGAACATAAAAAAAATATAAAAAAACATCAGAAAAGCTACATCTCCACTCAAAATCATCCACACACTCCTGAGACACTGATGAGAAGTGATTTCTAAAGCGGTTATCATGTCAACTGTATTCTTATTGATAATGATAATTACCTGATAGTTGATGAGTCAGCCTCGACTACCACGAACAATGCCTTTTCACTGATGGAAATGTGTAAACTAGAACATCATTTAAAGGTAGTTT